GACAACCTTGTTGTTGTGTGTATACAAATTTTGTTCGCCTACGTCTCTATTTAAATATATATATATATATATGGGATGACGACTACACCATAGCTCAGTGGTTAGAGCATCGCTGGCTACAAGCGAGGGTCCCTGGTTCGAGTCCTGGTGGTGGCAGTCAATTTTTTCTTCAGACTTTTCCCGTTTGTCTCTTTCCCTCAAACCAGTTAATATATATATATATATATATATATATATACACTCAGACACAAAGGATCTCCAAGTTTCTCAGTGTTGCTACTCTGAGTTTCGTGCAAAAGCACTCTTCAGGCAACTTACTCTTCTCTCACATCAGTATCCCTTTACATACCAGAAAAGACGAAAAGAAGCACCCTAGGTGGGAATCACAGGTGGAGAAAAGCACGCTAGCCAGTCTAGGTGGGAATCACAGGTGAAGATAAATGTGGCAAGTGTGGTAGTGTGAGCAATCGCGCAGGCCGGGTGGTGTGCATAAAGTGAAGTAGGATGCATGCACATTAGATAGCAGGAGTTCTGTATATGTGTAACAGATAGCAAGCGCAGTCTACAGTTCAGGTCACCTCCGATAGGAGGTACTTGGTGCTGTGGCGACATTTTGTGACCAGGCTGCATCTGGTGTTGAGGAGCGATGCCTTGTCACTCTTCATTATGGCGATCTTCTCCGATAGGCATAGGTTGCACCGCTTCGAGGTTCTTTTGTAGGCGCTCCCCGCTCTGTCTTAGGACATTGAGCACTTTTTTGCCGACGCAAGAAATACTTCTATTCTTCTATATATATATATATATATGAGGGGAATGCAGTACCAGAACAAACACGTGATAAAGTTGTCAGTCCGGTTGCAGCTTGAACAGCCGTAGCACCTTGATGTGCTTCTTTTGTCGACACAGTTCTGGCCTCAAACTGCGAATGTACAGCGCCTCCAGTGTGAATCGGTGCGCGCTGTTTCGGGCTGGTGTGATCACACTGAAGCTGCTGTTGCGTTCCTGTGGGATGCATTCAGGCTGCGCCTGCAAATGCTTTGTGATGGCGCTATCACATATATATATATATATATATATATATATATATATATATATATATATATATATATATATATATATATACTCAATCTGCGGACAGCATGCTGTTTCGTTCTTTTTGAACTCATCAGCGCAGCACAGAGAAAATGAGGCCGAACCTGATAGCAATGAAAATAAAAATTTCCAATCAGGCCCGAACGTACCTTGCCAGAGTGCTCAAACTGACAAGTCAGTGAGCTCTGCATAACGCAAACAGCAAAGGCACTACCCCACGCAAGAGTGCTCAACTGCTACAAGAGCAGGAGCGAAATACTCAATCTGCGGACAGCATGCTGTTTCGTTCTTTTTGAACTCATCAGCGCAGCACAGAGAAAATGAGGCCGAACCTGATAGCAATGAAAATAAAAATTTCCAATCAGGCCCGAACGTACCTACCTCTCTATTTATATATATATATAAATAGAGAGGTAGGCGAACAAAATTTATATACACACAACAACAAGGTTGTAAGTTTCATAACACTAAAAGCTTTTCACCCATTTTCATCAGTAGGTACATGGGAATGAGCAAGAACGAAAACGAAGCCAGAATTTATACTGGGGGTAGAGAATCAGCAAGAATATTCTTACGCGCCTCAAGTTCACACCACACTACCATAAGAATGTATGGAGCAGTGGAAAAATGCGGGAAACAACACATGAAGGGAATGCAGTACCAGAACAAACACGTGATAAAGTTGTCAGTCCGGTTGCAGCTTGAACAGCCGCAGCACCTTGATGTGCTTCTTTTGTCGACACAGCTCTGGCCTCAAACTGCGAATGTACAGCGCCTCCAGTATGTCAGCGATTCTCGGAAAGGATCAAGCAGCATATCCCAGACAAGCTGTACAAGAAGCCGCCTGACAAACGTGTGGCGACAAGTGATAGCGCCATCACAAAGCATTTGCAGGCGCAACCTGAGTGCATCCCGCAGGAACGCAACAGCAGCTTCAGTGTGATCACACCAGCCCGGAACAGCGCGCACAGATTCACACTGGAGGCGCTGTACATTCGCAGTTTGAGGCCAGAGCTGTGTCGACAAAAGAAGCACATCAAGGTGCTGCGGCTGTTCAAGCTGCAACCGGACTGACAACTTTATCACGTGTTTGTTCTGGTACTGCATTCCCTTCATGTGTTGTTTCCCGCATTTTTCCACTGCTCCATACATTCTTATGGTAGTGTGGTGTGAACTTGAGGCGCGTAAGAATATTCTTGCTGATTCTCTACCCCCAGTATAAATTCTGGCTTCGTTTTCGTTCTTGCTCATTCCCATGTACCTACTGATGAAAATGGGTGAAAAGCTTTTAGTGTTATGAAACTTACAACCTTGTTGTTGTGTGTATATATATATATATCACACTGGAGGCGCTGTACATTCGTAGTTTGAGGCCAGAGCTGTGTCGACAAAAGAAGCACATCAAGGTGCTACGGCTGTTCAAGCTGCAACCGGACTGACAACTTTATCACGTGTTTGTTCTGGTACTGCATTCCCCTCATGTGTTGTTTCCCGCATTTTTCCATTGCTCCATACATTCTTATGGTAGTGTAGTGTGAACTTGAGGCGCGTAAGAATATTCTTGCTGATTCTCTACCCCCAGTATAAATTCTGGCTTCGTTTTCGTTCTTGCTCATTCCCATGTAACTACTGATGAAAATGGGTGAAAAGCTTTTAGTATTATGAAATTGACAACCTTGTTGTTGTTGTTGCTGCGCTGATGAGTTCACAAAGAACGAAACAGCATGCTGTCCGCAGATTGAGTATTTTCGCTCCTGCTCTTGTAGTAGTTGAGCACTCTCATGTGGGGTAGTGCCTTTGCTGTTTGCATTACGCAGAGCTCACTGACTTGTCAGTTTGAGCACTCTGGCAAGGTACGTTCGGGCCTGATTGGAAATTTTTATTTCCATTGCTATCAGGTTCGGCCTCATTTCCTCTGTGCTGCGCTGATGAGTTCACAAAGAACGAAACAGCATGCTGTCCGCAGATTGAGTATATATATATATATATATTTTTTTTTTTGTGAGCACGGTACGGTGGCTCGGCAATGGCTTTATTATTGATATTATTATATCTCCTTCCTGATATATCTTTTTTTTCTTTTTTCTTTTTGAATAATTGTACGCATAGGGCCTGATATCATAAGAAAAATTAGCACAAGACACTGCTGCTACTATAGTCGCACAGCAAAACACACAGAAAACGACAAAATGTTACAATGAATGTAACAACACCCGTCCAAGTTAAAGGACCGACATCCCTGCCCCAGGACGGCATCTCGAACCCCCCACACACTCACCACACGGTCATCATCCAGCTTCAGTTCAATCACTGTATTCTTCCCCTGCAGACTCAACCCCCCTGTCACTAGCCATACAATCTGAAGCTGTATGTAACCATACAATGGCCCACGACGCACACACCACCCTTACGTTTTCTAACTAAAAAAGAAAAGCAGTCGTAACTGCAACAGCCACATGGCCAATAAGAAAAACCAATACGATAATATATCGATAAACACACACCCAGAAGTCAGGGATGGGAGGGTGGGATACAAACTGCACCAACGAAAAGCCACTGCGAAGTGACAGGAATGCGGTCCAGCACAACATTTTTGCGGACGCAAAAAGTTGTGGGGAAATCCCAAAATCGGTGCGATTTTGCATGAGCCCAAATGTTCAGGTTACCCACAAAGACACAAGCTTTCCAACTCTCTTTGGCCGTTGGAAAGCGTACCAACTTGAACCTGGTAGATCCAGGTGCTCGAAGTCGGGACACTTTTACAGTGTGTGCTTGCCGAGCTGAAACTCACACTAGCAATGATCACTTGCCAGAATCCTGCTCATGGATGGAAGGTATCATTCTTGTTCAAGTTTGTTTTGAGGCCAGGCTCGCTAGAACCAGAAACAGAGCGGATCTTTCGATCCGCTCTGTTTCCCTGGAGTTTGCTGATTTTTCATATCAAATTTTGGTGTCGCAGAGGGTGCTCTAAGTCAGTACAGCTCAAAGGTGACTCGAAATACACACATATTTCTGCTAGTTGCTAACTTGCTATCCCTCGGTTACGACGAAAGTACCGAAGCGATATGTTTGGAATGTGCCTCCACCAGTATTTCTTGCAAAAGCGTAGTTTGTTGCCTAAATGCAAGCTGTTTTAGTTTGCTCAGAGAAGAAGCCGCTGCGCTGTAAAAAGCGCGGGAAAACAGTGGTGGAAGAGCCAGGAGTGTCAACTTTCTGCAAGGATTGGTGGTTCTCTGAAAATCCTTCTCCTCTGGCCATTCTCAGCTCTAAGCTGGCTCTTGATGATTGAGTGAAGGTCTGTTTGACGCTGTGTCCGTTCGAAATCGATCCTGGCAAAGTTGATTTTTGCATGAAATGTAACCCAATTTGCATTTCGTACTGACATTCGAAAACCCATTCGCGTGGTATGGGACTTCTGCTTATCGTAGATCCCTGAAAATTGGTATACAACGAGAACACACTACAGTGTCCCCTGGATAAAATACTTCAGACGAATACAATAACAGAACATGAAATTATGAGTGTACTTTGAGCACCTGGGTCTGCCCTCTGTTTCTCAATCATGGTCTTAGACCATCCCACTATGCCTGCCGCAAGCAGAGCAAGACAATTTCTTCCATTGCTTTCCTAATGTGACTCAGTCACTGCAATATAGTTGGAGGCGGTTCGGCTGGAGGGGGGGGGGGGTCGGTCGGGGGGGGGGGGGGGGGGGTGCCCCCGGGAAAATTGAATTTAGGGTGCAAAATCCTGCATTTTGGTCCCTTTCGGCATTGCGTTGAAATAAAGTGGTCCGGTCAAAGCCGGACCGGCCGGACCGGCTGCTATACCCCTGAGGTACATGTTACAGTGCAGTGCGAGCACAGCAGTGACTCAATACTTTCAATGCACGCTGCTGAATTGGGGCTTACCGAAACAGAGCGACCGGTAAGGCCTTCCCGGACTGTTATCGGTATTGCTAAATATTACCGAGCCTGATGGCGAGAAGCTGACAACTCTAGGGCTGGCTGCTGACTTGGCCATGTAATATGGGCCTGCGTTATCGAGTGCGATAGTTGTGAAGTCGCTCCTAAGATGGAAACGCCAATCCAGAATGTTCTCTTCACTACCAAGGTAATAGCCAATGGTGGCGCAGTGTCCAACTGCGTCCTCGTAGGAAGGATGCAATACGTCCCGTCTTGCAATGGACGACAGGCTGAAAGGCCCTAGCGTTGCCGGCAAGTAAAGCCACAACGCTATCACTGGCAGTCACAGAAACACACACAAAGACATGCATGGCAAATGTGAGCATCCAATTTCTGATGTATTTATTGAGACATCCCTTGGCACTTCAAAGACGGCCAGATAATCAGTTGCGGCGAAGGATGAGAGCCAACCATGGCGGAATAGAATCCACAGAGAAGGGAGTACAGAGAGAGAGAAAAGAGAGAGAAAAGCATCAAGCCTGAACTAGGGGCTATTTCTTTAGGAGTTTGATGATCTCGCACTAAGTTCTGGTGAAATGTTGTTCCCTCCCAAAGAAGTATAGTAATGTTGAGTTCGAAACAGGACGACTGACGACACATTATCCAGACATTACAACGGGAACAGGTAGGTTGGGGGAACGACATTTATTATAGACTACGAGACAAGAGACTAAGACGAACGAAATGACTACATGGTGATTATTGACAAGTGAGACAAAAGAGAGAAAGAGATCAAGTCTGAACGGCAAGATAAAGGGCCAGGGTAGCTATGGCGAATATGGGCGCGCAAGTAGCTACCCAGGCGAACGGAACAAAAGGAGACAAAAGTTGAGTACGCAAGTGCATGCAGGCCAGCTAGAAAAGGTACGGGAGGTGGTACCTAACATACCACCCCTCCATGAAAAAAATCCCGCGTCCTAGCCGAGAGAAAAAAAAGAGAGAAAAAGATGACTGGAGGAGAAAAAACACACACACACACACACACACACACATATTGCACGCGCGCACGGATCTCACGAGAGTGTGTACTAAAAATGCACTACAGATCATCCCTGTACTACTTATAGTGTGTAATAACTATTGGAGTTTGACGAGGAACGTGAATTACTAGTATTTTGAACGGCTAATACAGCCTAGTTACACTCTTGCTAAACATCCAAAAATTAGAGCGTGGCTCACCATGATCGGACCCCTAACTTGGTAATGTTTTACGAACACACGCGCGCGCACACACTACAAAAAATTCACGAAAATAAAATTGACGAAGAAGCATACAAAGAAAAAAGAAAGAGAGAAAGGTAGGTGACCTGCATGGCTTGAACGAGACTAGACGAGGTTGGCGTAGGAGAGACGAGGTTGATAGAGACGAGACGAGGTTGGCATAGGAGAGACGAGA